TGCAATAAACCGTTTCACACATTTTTGTTAACAACTACTTAACAAACAGAGAGCATTACATGAAACCTTCAGAAAGTCACTCAGGGCAATGACCTTGACAACATATGTCAATACCAAGCTTGTCAGAAGCTGCTCCCCTATTCGGCATATTTACCCCAAGTCCTACTCCTAAAGCCAACCTATCAAGAGGAAAGATGTTAGGGCATAATCCAACAAAGTTGTTTATGATCTATATTCGAGAGTTTTCTGCGTGTCTCTCGAAAGAAACGACACGGCCCCTGGTTACGACTTGTTTTAGCACCGAGTCAGGGTGTCTTTGTGAGTCTTTCTCGACCGTGCCTAAACATCACAGATCCCTTTAAGCTTATTTTAAAAATTTCATAAAATAGTGTGATAATGCAACATTTCAAATGCTTATTTTTTTTATTCCTTATTTTAACGCTTATAGATCTTCCTTTTCGTAAATGATCAATAAAAAAAGATATTACCTTCTCTTGAAGAGTCGCAGCTTCAGCACGTGCTCTCTCGTTGTCAGCTTGCGTAACCCTGAGTTCGGCCTGGGCTCTTCTTAATTCGGCAGCTGCTTTGTCAGCTCGTTCTTGTAAGCGCTCCACTTCTTGCGACGAGTTCAACGTGCTTCTGCCATATGTTTGCGACCGTTCGATATCATGTCGTAACCTTTCATTTTCTAGCTCCAGTCTAGCAAGTCGCTGCTTTGCCGCTTCCCAATCGGCACCACTACGTCCAACTTCCGACGCGGCCTTGTCCAGTTCGGCTTTACTTTTACCAAGTTCAGATTGCGAACTTTCAAGCTTTGCTTCCAGCCTGTCTTTCTCCGCTTGAGCTCGCTCTAACCGCGCACCCAATTTCTCTACCTGCCAATCGTTTATCATAATAACTATACAGTTTATCATACTTTAAGTAAATTTTCTTATAGACAGCACGCATTTTTATTTATTACTTTTACTTTTTTTAATTACTTTTAATCACATAATTTAAAAAAAAAACTAATTTAAAGTACAAAACAATATATAAAAAGACTGAGTATAAGTGAATAGAAAACATGCCATTTTTGAGCGGCCCGTAACTAAGAGCACTTATGAATTAATTTTAATCTTCCGCGAACATCATTTGTCGTGGACGTACAGTAACTATAAGAAAAAAGTGTTTCTTTGGGCAAAAATAATCACATTCTCTATTCCATTTGCATAAATTTTGAGACACTATATAAATCTTGAAAGCTTTCTCACCTCGGACTCCAAAGTGTGTATCTTCATTTTATATTCAGCGATTTCTCTTTCGTGCAGTTCCCTCTCCTCTTGTTTTTCCTGCTCGGCTCGATCCCTTTGCTCGCGTAATTGTGCCATTTGCTTTTCCTTATCCCCGATTGCTTCTTCAAGGCTGCTAAGTGCACCCTCACTGCTACAATGATGTGCCTGCATTGCAGTCAGTCTGGCTCTGGCCATGTCAACTTGATTATCCTTTTCTTTCAGTAAGTCTTCTAAATTCTCGATCTGAAGTTAACAGTTTTAACAAGATTCTCGATTATGAGATCACAAGATAAACAATGATAGTTTATTGATCAGATATTGTGTGTCAGTACGATAAAGAATAAATTAAATTTCATTTATATATAAGCTATTTTCTATTTTCAATAATTGAGTATTTCTCAAAAAAAGAAAAATTATGAACAAGCCAAAGTATAATGATACATTGAGTCAATCTGAACAAAATAATCATTTGTCATTTTGAAAAATTTCGTATTATTAAGTATGTAATTAATACATGTGACATAATGAGCGTGGAAAGCTATGGTTCAAACTCTGTGTAAAAGTTTCAGTTGAAACTTAGCTGATTGCAAGAAGCTGTGTCATATGCCGCTTGCATGTTTACTCGCTTATTGCTTTTTCTGGTTAAGAGATTGCATGAAAGAAGTCATTTTTCCTTACAACTTAAAAGTATATATGCCAAAATAGATAAATCCTCGTTTTCCTTATTAGATTTTTTTTCTTAATTACTCAATAAATATTGCAAATTTTGCAAAACAACAAATGACATTTCTATTCAGAATACCTCAATCTAACTTCACATTTTAGCTTGGTCAAAATTTTTCGGATATCCTGTATAATAGAACATTTAAATACGTATATAATAGAATATTATGACGTTGCAGAGCGTCTGCACGTACATTCATTCTCCTGTCGTCTTGCTGGAACGTCGCTGGAAGATTTTTAAAAATCGCATCAGGAGCCCACCATTCCTCCAAAACTAAATTAGATTTAAGAATTTAGTTCAAATTCTTTTTTTTTTGTTCTTTTTTGTTATATGTAACATGTATGTATTATAACCCCCGAATGAGTTCCCACTGTGCAGTAGCTCTGAAATGGAATCTCGCAGCCCACGGAGCGCGTGGTACGCATGTGGTCTGACCGTCTTGCAGTAATTAAACGGAACAAGATTTTGTTCCCAAAGTGTGCTGGTGATGATGCGGCCGGGCATTGATCGTCAGTCTCTGCTGGCAAATCTGCTCGGTTTAGCATCGCCACAATCAATGTAATCTGACGGGACATACATGACGGGACAACATTGACCACAATAGGGAAGCATCCGGTGTCTTTGTGTACTCCGGGCTTTTGCGCCGGAGCGAGTAATGGGGCTAAGTGGGTGTGTTTCGTTTGACCACAGTATAATTTGATACCAAATTATTGGATACAGATTTATTCGACACAAAATTATCCGATACCATACGATTTGACACCAACTTATTCCACACCAAATTATTCGATACGATTTGACATTATTAGACAGAGTACAAGTGACAAGCAATAAGCATCGTGACAGTAAATGATAGTAGTAACACAAGGTTAAATTAGGTTAGATTAGGTTAGGCGACATGACGCCCGCTGCTCGGAGGAGTTTGACTCGAGGGAGTTTGAACCCACCACCTTGACGTGGTCCCCGAGCTTGAGTGGGGCAATGATTGGAAAAGCTGTGCCGGCGGTAACTCCGGTTCCTGGCAGGGTCTCCTATGCCGGATTGGTCTTCCATAAACCTTCAGACTAAGTGTGGGTTAACGGGCGTGCGGGCTTGTTACCCCTATGAAGGAGCCGCACTAAAGGAAAGTATACCCTGACAGAAAACCCGGGCAGATCGGGCTTGTAGCCTGGTTACGGCAACCGGCCTAGGTCAGGTTCAAGACCGATATAAAAGCGCTTCTTGGTAACCATAGAAATGAGCACTAAGAACAGCCAGAACTTACTGGAACAGGTCGATCGGATGGCCAGTTCCCGGCGCAAGGGAGCTAGTGTCCCGGGTGCCCCCGCGTCGTCATCCAACGACGGGCGGGTGAAAAAGTGCACCGCAGGCTCTTTCACCTATGATGATTTCACCTATTATGCGTTTGCAAAGACCAGTCCCGAGGTGGGGCTGCGTATGAGAAGAAGGTGCAACCCCCAAGTGGTGTTGCGGCGACTTGACTCATCGGAGTCACTTTCGTCGATGGGCTCTGTGTTCTCCACGGAGTCATTAGAAGCTTCCTTTCCGGGAAACGATATGGAGGTGGTGTACTCCGGAGATGAGGCCGTTGAGCGTCCTTCCTCCAATAAGGAAGGACTTGCCTGGGCTGCGGCCCGCGCAGCAAAGAAGGATGGACGCAGTCGCCCTCCAACACACGGCAAATACATTGGTCTTGGGAGGGTCCGCGAGGCCTTGCGCACGGCACGCCTGGCCCAGAAGCGACAGGCAGCGGAGGCTGCGAGGGCGCCTCCCAAAAAACACTCTGCCACGGGGTCGGAATCGAAGCGCACCTCTGATGATGCGTCCGTTTGTGGCCTCAGACGGCCATGTGTCCGTGTAGGCGGAAGCAATGTCGAGCGGGAGTGCGAGACTTGCTCCACTGTTGACCACATCGACCTTATTTATAAGGCCGTTGGGATCTGCGACAAAGTAGCGATCCGTGCCAAGAGGCTCAAGGGCACGGATGTCAAGACTCTCAGGGAGGCAGGTCGGGACGACCGTAGAGTGGCGGACACGCTCTATTGCCGTCTCAAAGATAATCTTGCGGCAAGGACGGCTCCAGTCCTCCCGCAAGTATACAAAAAGAATGAGGAGCTACGACTCGAGGTCAGGCTCCTCAAAGAGGAGGTGGCTGCCTTGCAGGCCAAGGTGCGTATGCTCCCTCCTCTCCCTCCTGTGGCGGCGTCGGTGAGGGTGCCTGACGATCTTCTCGAGAAGATTGGCGCCCTCCTCGACGCCAAATTCGCCGCGTTTGTTCCCCCTGCCTCGGCGGCGGGACGGGCGAGTGTAGGAGATTCGCGCACTTGCAAGGGGGCGGGTGCGCGATTGCGCTCGGTCTCCGGACGGCCACGGTCGACGTTCGCCCGTCGGCTGCTCTGTCTTCCCGAACGCCCAAGAAGGTAGTGGACCCGGGCCCGTCGATCTTGTCAAGGGCGGCGGACACGTGGTCCACAGTGGTCGGCCGCAAAGCCAAAAAGAAGGCGACAGGTACGTCTGGGGCCTTGGTCCTTACTGCCCGACCTACTTCTGGGGATCTTCCCTCAGAAGGACAGCCTCAGAAGGCGACAAAGAAGAAGCGGCGGGTTCGGTTCCGGGCTCCCACGACTGCCGCTATTGTGGTGGCTCGGGATCCGACTGCTTTGATCGACCTCGCTGAGGCCGTGAAGAGGTGTCGGCTGGCGATACCTCTTGAACCTCTAGGGATCCAGGAGGTTTGTCCACGCCAAACAATGACCGGGGACTTGATGATTCAGGTCCGGACATGGCAGCCAAGGCCGATGCCTTGGCTGCAAAAATAGAAGGAGTCCTCGCGGGGACAGGAGGAAAGGTCCGTTGCCCCTCGCGTTTCGGGAATATCCAAGTGCGGGGTATAGACGGCACAGTCTCCCGCGGGAAAGTGATGGCGGCGTTCGCTTTGGCGGTTGGGTGTCCGGAGAGAGAAATCCGCCTGGGAAAATTTCGGGCTCTTCCTTCCGGACCTAGGACGGCTTGGGTCCAGTGCTCAATTTCGGCGGCCAAGCGGCTGGTCGCCGTCGGAAACGTTTAGATGGGATGGATGATGGCGCAAATAGAAGCGCTAAAAGCCCGCCCCCTTTGGTGCTACCGCTGCCTGCGCGCGGGGCATGTGAGGCAGTTTTGCCCCGTCTCCGAGAAGGACCGCTCGGGAGTCTGCTTCCAATGCGGTCTGGGGGGACATGTCCTGCGGCAGTGTACGACAGCGGAGCCGCGGTGTCTGGTATGTGTGGATCTGGGCCGAAAAGCCCGCCATGTGTTGGGGGGCCTTTGTGCCAACCCCCGAGTCGGCGGTTTAGCGACGACGTTTGCGAGGCCGTCGCAGATGGCGCAAGGTGTCGCCGGGCAGGAGAAGAGGCGGTTGATTGGGGTGCTTCCTCCTGAGGGAGAGGCCCCTGGTTCGGCCGAGGAGAGGATGGAGACTGAATCCTTTGGGGATTTGTCCACTACATTCTCTCCAGCTACCTTTCCGTTGTTGAAGGGTGGGGCTCCGGCTTCCTCCAGTTCCGGGGGACCTGGTCCTTCCGGTTCTAAGAAGCCGACCCCGGCCTTGGCGGTGTCATCGTCGGTGCCCAAGGTGGCACCCACCGGGTCAAAGAAGGTTCAGGCGGGACTAGCCTTAGCTGCCCTTTTGGGGCACACGGGGCACAAAAAGGCGAAGCCTGGTCCCCGTTGCTCCAAGCCCTAGTTAGGGCTTGGTTCGGCGGTGACTAGGCGGTGTGTGGGAGGAAGGCCTCCCTCGAATCGAGGGAGGTCAACATTATTATGTAAGGGGGCAAGTCCGCTTTGGCGTTTGATTTGGGGCCAAGAGGGGTTTAACCCCCTCATTGCACTCGGCCCGCAGACGACAGAGAGATCAGGGCCTTCTCCCTTTGTCGTGGAGAAAATTGCTTCTCATTCCAAGGAGTAGGGCCCAGTTAGGCCCCCAGCCTACCGGCGTCATCCCGGATTGTTCTGCCTTAGGGGTTCCGGGGTGCGCCTCAATGGGTAGAAGACGGCCGTCCCAGGGGTTTTAATGGGTATACCCCGCCAGGGTGAGCTCTGGTAGGAGGAGTCCCGCACTACCCCATCCCATCTTGGGGTGGGGTGTGCGTAATGCATTCCCCCTGGGGTTAAAAAAAAAGATTAGGTTAGGGTAAGTTCTTGGGAGTGGCACACCACCTTGACGTGGTTCCCGAGCTTGTGTGCTGTGATGATCTGAAAGGCTATGCCGGTGGGAACTTCGGTTCCTGGTAGGGTCTCCCTTGCCGGACAGGTTCTTAGTGAGCAGCCAGACTAAGAGTGTGCCTAAAAGAAGGAACACCCTGATTTCAAACCCGGGCAGATCAGGCTCCTCAGGCATGGGTTTCCGATTTAGGAGAGGCAACTCCGATATAAAACCACTCTTTTATTTTTTTTATGGGTATGGACGACAAAAGGATTAGTAGTTTACCGGACCGGGGAGGTCGGATCCTCAGGTATCGGCACAAGGCTGATATCGTCCTGGCCAGCCTCGAGTCGTCATCCAACGACGGGCTTGACGTCTTCTGCATTGCAGGGGAGACGTCAAATAATGCGCTTGTGAAAGCCTGTGACCTACAGTCACAAACAATAGAGATGGGGAACTGTCCCATGCACCAAAAGAGCGCAAACAGTCCATTTCCACTCAGCCAATGACCGGTTGACCTGTGAGGTAAACGCTATGCGGAACGAGGTGGCGGCTTTTCGCGCTGCCCGCGACTCTGCGGAGTCAAAGGTTGCGCGGGTCAAGCGCGAAAACAAGACGCTCAAGAGCGAAGTGGCGGCCATGCAGAAAGACCTCGAAGCCCTCCGTCGTGAACTGCAGGTTTTTCGATCTGCCGGTGTCAGTGAGCGGTTCGCTCGGGTGCGCCACCGGAGTCTCCCGCACTATGCTCACCGCGACTCCCCTCGGAAAGGGGAAAAGAAGACCCATCTGGACCGTTTCCGTCTCCGGTGCCAGAAAACGGGCATTCGGAGGTGCCCGTTACACCTCGCGAACCCCCATGTTTGCTGGGAGGTAAGGATAACAACTCGAGGTCTCTCAGGGACATGGAGAGTTGCGTGATGAAAGCTGTCAGAAACCAACTATCAACCTTCTAGGAGCAGCTCTATTACCGACTCTCTCGTCCATTACTGGGATCCAGCGGGGTGGGTGGTCTTATGGCCGTCAACTGAGGGAAGAACAAGGAGGACACTGCGGAGAAAGCGGAGGCGGGAAACAAATCCCCCGTTGCGAGTGACCCTCCTCGAATAATAAAAGCTCTTCTTTTTCCAAAAGGAAAAAGAAGAGGAGGAAGAAGAAGAAGGCTACAAGAGACCCGCTGGAGACACCAGCAAAACTCGTGCTTTGGTGCCAAACCAATTGGGTCCACCTAGCTACCTCCGCAAACAACCGCCTCCTCCAGCCCCACAAAATGAGCCTCGGTTTCAAGTAGTGGAAAGGAAGCAGAGAAGGAAGGAAACGCGGGGCCCTTCAGTCTCAACACCCGCTACCTCTTCTGCGGGTAGGGGCAAGTCGATTGCCCCCGAGATCAAGCCGGGACAGCACCCTGTTTAACAGAAGATAGGCAAACCCCCTCGGTCTGCGGCCATCACGTTGACTTCCCTCACTGGTTCTAACGCGAGTGTGGGGGAGGTGTTGGCCAATATGAAAAAGACCAAAAAATTATCGGACTTCGGCATTACCGAAGTCCGGCCAAAGAGGGATATCACCGGAGAGCTCATTATTGAAATTCCCGGAGAAGACAGCAAAGAAAAAGCAGACCGGCTTTGCGTCGCAATGTCCGCTTTGGCTTCGGCATCCGACGTGCGAGTCGCGAGACCAGTAAAGACCGTCGAGTTGCGGGTCAAAGGCCTCGACGATTTCGTTACCCCGGAAGAAGTTAAGGAGGCGGTGGTAGCCACTGGGAGTTGTCGGCCAACGGATGTGAAAGTTGGCCGAGCTCGCGCTTCTCCCAGTAGACTACTAACCGCCTGGGTACAGTGTCCGGTGTCCGCGGCCAAGAAGATCGCGGACGCCGGCGCCCTTCGGGTGGGGTGGGTGCGTGCGCCAATTGAAGTATTGGAGCGCAGGCCCATGCAGTGCCACCAGTGTCTTCGGCGCGGACACGTCATGGCGACGTGCACTTATACCACGCCGGAAAAGGACAGGAGGGGCCGGTGTTAGCGGTGCAGCGACCGTGATCACCGCGTCGCAGGATGCAAATCGGCGCCGAAGTGTCCGTTGTGCGTCGACCTTGGTCGCCCATTGGCCCATCGTCTGGGAGGCAAGGCCTGCGCTCCGATCCCCCGAAAGGGGAAGCAGAAGGCTACAAATAAGAGCGGGTCACAGCCCGCTCTGCAGGAGATTCCCGCTGCCGTCCTGGGAGTGTCGACGACAGCGGAGGGGGCTAGCCAGCCCCTCACCGATAGTGCCCTCGAAGAGGAGATGGAGGTGGAGAAGCCACCCACTTAGTAATGGCTGTCTTTCTCCAGGGTAACCTGAATCACTTCCGCGGGGCCCAGGATCTTATGATCCAAAGCCTCGCAAAGTTAAACGAAGTTGTCGCGGTCAAGGCAGAGCCCTACAACGTCCCCGACCACCCGTCGTGGTCGGGGTCGGAGAACGGCTCTGTCTCGATATACTTCCGTAGGGGGGTTGGTTCTGAGTCCTCTGTCTTCTCTTCTCTGGAGAAAAGCAAGAGGCTTGTGGTGATCGAGTGGGGGGAACTTGTGGTTGTGTGGGAGTCTATTTCTCGCCAACAAGGCCCTTTCCCGAGTTTGAAGCGTTCTTGGACAAGCTGAGTCGGGTTGCTTGCCGATATTCGGCTCGTCCGGTGCTGGTCCTTGGGGACTTTAACTCTAAGTCAGTGACTTGGGGTTCCCCTAGAACGGACGCGAGGGGAAGAGCTTTAGAGAACTTTGCGGCAGCCTGTGGGCTTGTCGTGCTGAACCGGGGCTCACAGCACACGTGCGTCAGAAGCAACGGGGGATCCATTATGGACCTAGTTTTTGCTTCCCTGAGCGCCGTCCGCCGTGTGTCCAAATGGAGAGTCAGGGACAACATGGAGACCTTATCAGATCATCGGTACATCACGATGAGTGTTTTTGTACTACCTGATCACCTTCGGGGCTGCTATAAGGTAAGAAGACTCCCGTCCCAAGGGTGGGTCCTCAAGAAATTGGACTCACAACTCCTGTCCGCCGCTGCTCAGGTTGTGGCTTGGCCAACTTCACCATCGCCCGAGTCACGCAACCTCCGGGCGGAACTACGGTGGTTCCGGGAGACGCTGATCGCCATTTGCGACACAGCAATGCCGCGCTTCCGCGGTCTGCCGAACCGAAGGTCGGTGTACTGGTGGAAGGATGAAATAGCCTCTCTAAAAGTGGCGTGCATCCGGTCCAGAAATCAGTACATCCGCGCCCGTCCCCGAAGAACTGGCGACGTGGCAGCGCGAGCAGCGGAGGCGTACAAAGGGTACCGCGAAGCACGCAAAGCCCTTCGTATCGCCATAAGCCAGGCAAAGTTTAGAGCGTGGTCGGGGCTCCTCGAGACCCTTGACGCTGACCCGTGGAGACGCCCATACAGGCTTGTCATGGACAAGCTGCGGCCGTGGACCCCCCCGATTACTCAGAGTCTCGACTCCCCAGCTTCTGGAGAGGGTTGTCTCCACCCTGTTCCCTGACGGGAGGGGTGATTGGCCCTCCCAGGAGCCAGAGTTGAAACCGGTAGAATGGTCCAATCAACTGGGGGTCACGCAGGAGGAGATACGCCGGGCCGTCCATCGGATGACGCGCAAGAACACCACGCCTGGTCCCGATGGCGTGCCCGGTAAAGTGCTGGGCTTTGTACAGAAGTCCCTGAGAGCCCTTTTCAGGCAGATCTTCACCATCTGCCTGAGGACGGGATGGTTCCTCCTGAGTGGAAAAGGGTAAAACTGGTCCTCCTCCAAAAAGGGAGCAGGCCAGCGGACTCTCCGTCCGCGTACTGGCCGATATATCTGCTTGATGAGGCGGGTAAACTCTTAGAGGGCGTTATCGCTAACCGCCTCACCAAGCACCTGTCGCGGGTGAGTCCCGACCTGGCCGAATGCCAGTTTGGGTTCCGTGAAAAAAGATCAACGGTGGATGCGATCTTCCGCCTAAAGTTCCTCACGGACGCGTCGGTCAGGTAGGGGGGGAGAGCGTTGGCGGTGTCGCTAGACATATCCAACGCCTTTAATTCTCTTCTCTGAGACAGCATAGGGTAAACGCTTAATCGCCACGGTGTCCCACCCTATCTGAGAAGAGTCCTTGGTGACTATTTCCGCGGCAGGGAAAGAAGATATACCGGCCGGAACGGATCGCCGCACAAGAGAGAAATGTTTCGCGGGGTTCCACAGACGTCAGTCTTGGGCCCACTACTGTGGAACCTCAGAGTACAACGCGGTGATCCAGGCCACCCTGCCCAGAGACCTGGGTGTCATCTACTACGCGGATGACACCCTCGTAGTGGCCTCTGGGAGCGATTGGAGGAGGGCTAGAATTTTAGCGGAGATAGGCACTAACTGTGTCGTTAGCCGAATCGAAAGACTGGGTCTTAAGGTGACCGTCTACAAGACGGAGGCTATGTGGTTTTATGGCCCCCGAAGACGACCACCGCCGGGACTCAGTCTTAGTGTAGGTGAGGCACGGGTCGAGGTACTTGTTTCAAGGGGCGTGTTCCGTTTGACCACAGTACGATTCGACACCAAATTATTGGACACAAAATTATTGGACACAGATTTATTCGACACCAAATTATT